CAGCCCTCTCCTCCTGAGGTGGGCCGCTACCACCGCCATATATTTGGTAAAAACCCTGGGGGCCATCGAGAGGCCAAAGGGGAGGACCGTAAACTGGTAGTGGTCCTGACCCACCAGGAAATGGAGGAAGCACCTGTGACTTTCCAAAATGTGGATGTGGAAGTAGGCATCCTGAAGGTCCAGCACTGCAAACCAATCCCCCTGGTCCAGGGAGTGAATAATAGAGGCTAGGAACGCCATGCGGAATTTGCAGCATACCAAGAACTGGCTGAGCTTCTGCAGATCGAGGATGGGCCGAAGCCCACCCTTCACCTTCGGGATGAGGAAATACCTGGAATAGAATCCCTTGCCCCGGAATTCCCAAGGTACCCTCTCCACGGCTCCCAGGGAGAGGAGGCGCTGTACCTCCTGACCCAGGAGGAGCGCATGTTCCGGGTCCTCTGCCGATTCCCTGGCTGGAGGGCAATTGGAAGGGGGCGAAACAAATTGCAACCTGTACCTCAGGGATACAGTGTTGAGGACCCAGCGGTCCGTAGTAATACGGGACCCTTGCAAACGGAAGGCAGGTAAACGATTTGCAAACCTGAACTTTATTAACTGGGGGGGGGCGGTTAACCTGGCAACAGGCCCGGTGACCCCCCGCAAGCAGTCAAAAACGCCGCTTCCCTGGCCTCCTGGCCTTAGAGGGCCCCGGATGAGGGGCCGAGCGGGATTGGCGTTGTGACCAGCGCCTCTGCTCCCGCTGCTTCTTAGGCAGGGGCTCATATCTACCCCGAGCCTGTGGAGCAGAGGTGTGAAGCCTGGGCTTGTCCTTGGCCGGCGGTTCAGGCCCAGCGTCTGCAGGGTGGTATCGGAGTCTTTCATCCCGTGCAGACGCATATCTATTTGATCTGCAAACAGGGCCCGACCATTGAACGGCAGGTCCTGCATGATCGACTGGGACTCAGCCGATAGGCCAGAGAGCGAAAGCCAGGATGCCCTTCTCATGGAGATCGCCGCGGCCATCGAACAAGCGGCCGTGTCCGCCGCATCAGAGGCCACCTGGAGCGCCGCTTTAGCCGCCGCCTCACCCTCATCCATAAGGACTCCTTCCTGTCCTTCTCGAGGAGGGAGAGCTCAAACTTGGGAAGGGACCCCGACAGGTTAAAATCATATCTGCTCAAGAGTGCCTGGTGGTTGGCCACTCTGAGCTGAAAACTCGCAGATGAATACACTTTTCTCCCAAAGGAATCCAGCCTGCGAGCGTCTTTGTCCTTAGAGGTAGGAGCGGGTTGGCCATGCCTCTCTCGGTGGTTCACCGACTCCACCACTAGAGAGTTCGGAGTTGGGTGGGAATATAAGTACTCGTGCACCTTTGTGGGCACAAAGTACTTCTGTTCGGCCTTTTTGGAGATCGGGCAGAGAGATGCCAGGGTTTGCCAGAGGCCAGTAGTAATACTGGCCACCCCCTGATGGAGCGAGAGGGCCACACGCCCCGGCACCGAAAAGGTCAGGACATTAAACAATGTGTCCGACGGCTCCTCCATCTCCTCGGCTGGAGCTGGAGGTTCGATGCCACCCTCCTGAGTAGCTCCTGGTGGACCTTGAAATCCTCCTGAGAGACAGGAGGTGGTGGCGCCACAGAATTGTCTGGCGCCGAGGAGGTCGGTGCCGCGGTGTCGTCTGCACCTGGGCTGTACTGCAAGCTCGACGTCCTGACCCGGGACCCGAGTCGGTGCCAGAGGATCAGTGCCCACTTCCTCTTCGTGGTGCTGAGGCGGCAACGTCGGCTGGGCCTGGGATGCTCCCGCCACGGAGCGGGGTCCCAGCAGTGCCAGTGCCTGGGGCCACGGTGCCCACTGGCACCACTGTCTCTGCCAGGGAATGGCCTGGCCCTGGGACGCGAGGTAGTCCGGAAGGGCCAGCTGGTCCTGCAGCACCGAGCGGCTCGACGAGGGGCGGCTGCGTTCCGAAGCCGAAGTCCGGGATGAGCGGACGGTGCCATGCGAACGGCTGGAGCAGTCCCAAACATGACGTCTCCGGCCCCTGGACGAGGACAGGTAGGAGTCGGGGGTGCTGTCTCCGTAGTGCCTCCGGCGCCCAAGACTACGACGCCTCGGTGCGTGGGAGTCCTGTGACAAGCTCCGGGCGTAGCACCTTTCATGGCAGGTGCCGGAGCGGGAACGGCGGTGCCGCCGCCAACGAGACCTGTCCCTGCAGTCAAGGCTCGAAGAGGAGTGGCGCCGTCTCTTAGTGCCTCCCCTACGGTCTCCCGGAGTGGAGTTGGAAAGCTCGCTCGCAGACAATCCTGCTCGCGGCGTGGAGGCGCGCCGAGGTCCGCAGCTCAGCCCTTCAAAGCGGGATGGTATCTTGACCTCGGAGACGTCTGGAGAGGGTCGATAGGCAGTGAGCGAAGGCTTCCCACGGGATTGGGGACCCGACTGGAGCGGCGCCCCCGGTACCGGAAGCGTCATGATGTCGCATGCAGCCTGAGCTGCCTCCGGCGTCAAAGGCATTCTCACCTCTGGCGAGGCACGCGTGGACGGCACCGGACTACTCCACTCTACCCAAGTCAGTGGTCTTGGTCCCGATGGAGATCGTGGGCTGCCCAATGCGGGTCTAGCCTCCCCCCGATCTTTCTCCCGGCGCCGCTGAGTCTTCCCTTGTTTCTTAGAAGGGGAGTGGTGCCGGCTCGTCGACGGGGCCTCGCTGCGCACCGACAACACGGTACCGGGCGCGGAATCAGGACAGCGCGCCGGGGGCGCTTCGCTGCGCGCCAAGGACGAGGTGCCTGGCGCGGGGTCGGCTCAATGCCCGGTGCTGGGGTCAACACCGACTCCATTAGGAGAGCTCGGAGTCGGATCTCACACTCCCTCTTTGTTCGGGGCTTGAAGGAGCGGCAAATTGTACACTTCTCACTAATGTGAGCCTTGCCCAGACAGCAAAGACACTGAGTATGTGGATTGCTTCTGGGCATAGGATTGCGAGAAGAGTCGCACGACTTGAAGCCTGGGCCACGGGGCATGCCCCGAGCCCAGCACTAACAGAGAAAGTTCAACAAGTAACTTCAGGGAAAGCTGGATACCACTAAGGCTAGAATTGCTGCAGCAAAGCTGGAGCACAAGTTCCGACTATCTTCACTGGCGGCAAGAAGGAACTGAGGGTGGGGGGAGCACGCAGCCCCCTTTATGACGCAATATGTCGGCGCCACTCCAGGGGTCGCAGCGGTGCTCCCCCACTACGGATGCTGCTAAGGGAAAAACTTCCGGCACCAGTGCACGTGGTGAGCATGTACACCTACTGTGGAATACACAGGAGCAATCACTCGAAGAACGCCAGTTACGGAACAGGTGACTGTCCTTTCAATTACCTTTGGTAAATGAAATACCCAAACAATCATTCATTTTCTGATATAGCTGTAAAACTAATCTGAAAAGTTTTCAAAATAAATCACTTTAAAAATGTCTAGTGTGTACCTTCTAAAAATTAAACCTTCATCTATCTCTGAGTTGTGAAGATATGTATTAAGGTTATGATAACCAACAAGAATGCACTTTTATGTAGAAAATCCATGATTAAATCGAGTTTTCCTGACTAAATCAAATCCACCCTGCTACCGCTGCTCTACACTAGCACTTTCATAAGGTGCTAGCACTGTCGAGCTGCAGTGATGTGAGATCAATTGTGGCTAGAGTTCCTAAAGCTCAATATAAACACAATCAGGTATAAATAGTTTGCCACGGCAAATTGCCTAGGATTTTTCCAGTTTCCTCCTACATCAAGCTTTTACCAATGCCTTCAAAGAAGAAGAAAACTGAATAATCCTTGCCAGTTCCCTTTTGCAAACTTTTTGCACAGGGAGCCTGGTGAAAGGCAGAAAAGGTTGAGAAGGAGGGGGGGGAAGTGGTACAGAAGACAAGCAGGAGGGGATATGGGGGCGGGGGGAAACCTAAATGAAAAAGTGGAGAAAAATTATGCCAAATTATTTATTTTGTGCACTTGACAGTCTTTTGGATGTAATCAGTTTTAATGTTTCCCCATAATAATTATTTAGACCCTGATCCTGCTGTTGGATCTGGTAATATGAACACCTGCACCTGTGAGGAGACCAGATTAAATCAGATCCCATTTCCCCAGGATGTGTGAGTCTTTCACACAGCAAGAAGGGGCAGAAAAATATTTTTAAAACAGGAAAATGTGTTTGTAAAACAAGGACCCCAGGACAGGTGTAGTAACTCAAAACACTTAACTCATTTTTTTAAAATGGTCTTGTTTTGAAATTGATGGTGTCCCTTTTGAGGGTGTAGTAATGTGAGAGCTGACAAATCTTTTACAATCAGGGCTTTGGAGCGGAGCTCGGAGCAGTGGAGCTGCAGATTTTTGCCTGGAGCTGGAGCAGAGCCAGAGCACAGCTCCAAAGCCCTGTTTACAATACTACCAAAATAAGCCTGGGTCTTTTTCCAGGTTTGGAGATGCTTAAGCCTCATGATTTGTTTTGTTTCTCACCAGCAATCTGAATTGGTATATCTAAATTCTTATGAGAGTTCATATAGATCTTACCTAGAGGAAGGTACTATTCTTCCAACCTGTCAGTCTTTCCTCATGTCGTTTCTTGTAGCTGCTCTAAAATCTACCCACTTCACTTTCATCATCCCTATGTATCCATCTTGTAATGGAATCTGGGCACTTGTTGTGGTACATTATCTACTTGTTATGATGTTGGGCCACCCACTTGCCCTTGCTCCACACACACCACTGTCATTAATTTGATTTCACCATTGTTGGCAATCATAGGTTTGATTTAATTTTTGTAGTCAGCACTCTGATCTCATGAGGATGGGTGTGGTAATTTTAAAATAGGAGTTCTGCACATGAAGTGAAGCCTGGAGATGTTCCTTTGTAGATTAATCCACTTAGATTTATATTGCTATAAATGTTTCTCTGGCAGTTTCCTACAATAATTTAGTCTCTTTTGTAGTATTTTGATGATGAATACTAATTCAAGTGGCTTGTTTTTTCAGATGGTATCGTGAGAAATTTGAAGACTACCCAAAGTCCAGGAAGATTGTGATTCCATTTGTGCTCTGAGGTGTGCATCATGGAGTTGGCTGACTTTGAATGATGGTGGTTGCTATTCTGAAAATATTCAGTTGACAAACAACTCCCAACAAGTTAGCCTAAAGGTTTTCTTTTAACATTTTCAGTATCACTTTTGTTGGTTTCCTAACATATAAAATACAACTGATGGATGAGGCCATAGTGACAGAAGAGTCAGCCATCCTGTTCCTATTTGGAGCATAGTGTAATAACCGCCTTAATAAGATAGTATCTTCATCATTGGAACTACAGTGGTGTCTGTATTGCTTCTTATCCTGCCTCTACCTGTTGCCTTTTCTGCCTCAGCCAGGCACAATACCTCCAAGATCTCATATTGCACCATATCAGTGGGTGCTTGTGCACTATCTACCCCCACACAAACACAGGATTGACTTGCCTCACCCCCCCGGATAATCTAGTGCTAGTAGTGTCACTAAATGTAGTCTTTGTACTCAGTATTATGCCTAGCCACTGAGCAAGGAGTAGTGGTGAGAGCTATCCTCAGCCCCCGCACATCTGTGCAGGCACAAACAATAGAACACTGTTAACACTACATGCACTACTTATGACAGTAGCAGTAACTTTGGCAAATAATGGGTTAAGATTTACTTCTTTCTCCAGATTAATAACTCTCTCAGGTACTTTTCAGTGGCTGGCTTCTCACCCACTTCCATGACATGTTCTACTTTCCTTATTTTTTCCATTCTACTCTTTGTTCTGCTTTTTATTTTTCATATGAGAAATATTAGTGTTACTGGTAAAGGATTTGCCTTAATTTTTTACCAGTCCCCGCTGACATTCTAATGACTTTTAAAGTTTACATTTGGTATCTATTTCTGTTTTAGGAGGTTTAGGGTCTTTAACTGACACTTTTAGTAGTTTTGGGTAGCACTGTTTTCTGGCTTGCCTAAAATAACAAACCTCACCTCCTAAGAACTATAGAGAATTTTTCAAAAATGTTTTTACTTTATGATAAGTGTATGGATGACACCTGTTTTCCAAAGAGAACTGGATTTTTGAATACTTGTTTTTTACCTTAATAATGTCAAGTCTGTTCTCCTTTCCTAGATTTGCTGAAGGACCTCTGTGAGCTCACAGTAAACATTCATGAGAGTTCCAGTACCTTAACTGAAAGAGTGGGGCTGTTGAATCTTAAACAGAGACTTAATTGCTGGGTTTTAAATAGGGACTAAAAGTAAATGGAGTTTTAAATAGCGATTTAAAAATCCCTTCTCTTCCCAATTGCTCAGCTTTCAGTCTCCTTTCTCTTGTGATATTCCTACTTCTCCAGTCTCCATAGTCTTTTACAGTAGAAAAGTCCTGAATCTTTAATGTAAAAAACAAGCAGAAAGTGTTTTAACAATTTTTTTCTTTATATAAATCCCAAGGAAAGGCACAAGCCCAGTTTCTCTTTTTTGGGTGGGGTCAGGGGAGGAGGGTTGTTTTCATTTTCTTTGGAAGTTGCCTTTTAAATATTCTCAATCTGCCTGGACACTCTTTAGATCTTAAGTGCTGCTTTGAAGACAAACAAAGCTTAGCTGTATTGCCTTCTTTAAAGCCTTATCTTAATTCCAACATAATTTGAGTCTACCTGCCTCCCATTTCAGACCAACAAGGCAGCCTTTGCCTACCCACACTGAAATTAACCTCCCTCACCATCTCCTTCCCTCTAAAGCAACTTTGCTGTACTGTTTGTCATTTTTGGATTTTGGCAGGTGGTTAATAAAAACTTTTAAAAAATTTGTTTCCTTCTGAGTAGGTGCTGTGTTTGACAAATTCAACCAGAAAGTGGAGAGGCATATAGAAAGAACAAAACAGTTTTTAAAAAAGTTTGGTTCCATTGTCGGGATCGTTTTCTAAGATTTAATGCCTCATCTGACTTCCGTTTATTTAACTGGGAGTGCAAAGTGATCGGAAAGTATGATACCACTGGTCCTTCAAGTTTGTGCAGATGTGTATTCCACACTGGTGTGTTGGTGTCTTGCACACTGCAAGCTGGAGACTTTTTTTGCCACAGCTGTACCTTCTCATAGCCCTTCCTGAGGCTATATAAAGGTGGCAGCATCCTGACTCCACTCAGTTCCTTCTTACCACCTGTATCTTGAGTTGGAACTCCCTGTGTTGGATTCTCCTAACAATTTCCCTGCTGCATCACAGTTTGTGACTCAGTCTTCAGTAGTGTAAATAGTTACTTGCAGTTAGCACCAATAGTTTAAGTTAGCGTTAGTTGGTTTATTAGTATATTTAGTTGTATAGTTAGTTTTTGGTCTGCAGCACTGAATGTTATGCACCATTCCCTGGGCTTCAAGCATTGCCCTGCATGTGAGGTCTCTGATCCTAACAGTAACCCACACATGTGCTGCTTGGTGTGCCTTGGAAAGGGGCACATAAAGGCAAAGTGCAGTAGCTGTCATTCCTATAAGGAAAGGACACAGGTTGCAAGAAACCTTCTTTTAAAGCAACACCTGCTAGAACAAGCTGTGAGACTGCCTCAGCACTGGGATCCTCTTCCAACTGCTCAATTAACTGTCCCTAGACATCATCTCAGGAGGATCCTCTACCTCTGCAGGAGTTGGGGACAGTCCCAACAGTCTGATCAGTGATAGAGGCAGGAAAGGGATTGTTCATCATTCCTGCATGTCCCTCAAATGAGAATCCATAAAATGGACTGGTGCTGCCAGAAATCAAGGAAGGATTAGTCCTCCTTTTCATCAAAAGCAGGGGATCACTGTCAGCAAAACTCTGGTACCTAGAGATGCCAACCTGTGTCTCCCCAGTGGAGGATCCTTGTGCTGTACTGTTGACTCTGGAACCATCTACAGGGTGGCCACCGAGTCCAGTACCTGTGGAAACTCCAGCATCCTCAGGTTTCCTTTGTCTATCCTTACCATTATGCCCACTACCTTTGGATGTCAGTGCGGGGATGGTACCCCAAACTCTGTCCTCTTCATCTCTGGGATGGAGATTGCCTTCAGTTCAGGTACTGATGAAGAGGCAGGTTCTGCATATGGTGCTTATGCAGTCTAGGTCAATACCAAGACATCCCCTGCTCTCGGCACCATCTACAACATCAACCTTGCTACCAGAGTCCTCAGTACCGGTAGCTTCCTCTGATTGGGGACCAAATCCTGACCCCTCAACACCAAAAAAGGACCCATCCTTTGTACTGGACCCAATTATAAGACCATCTACCTCCTGCAGTTTCCTCTCAGGACCAAATACAATGCCAACCACAGTACCAACGTTAACTTTTCCATATTAGAGAGTGGACAACTCAGGTTTTCCAGTGATGCCACCAGGTTGGGTGACACCCCCACCCATCCCTATTGATTATTCAAACAGCTCTTCTCACTCTGGGTCAGAGTCCTCCAGCTCTTTTCCTGCCCCACCTCAGCTAAAGAGATCACATACATCATCCAAACACGCAGGAAGTAAGTGTTGATACCAAGAGCAGATCCATTCCTGTAGTAGGGACAGACCTGCCTGGCCTGTGATACATTGACCTATTATGCTGTGCCTTGTGTTGCAGTGGCCCCCCGGAACACCTCTTGCCATAGAGCCAGATCTCCACATAAGTTGGATGTAAGATCCCCTTATCTGGAGATGGCCCAAGTCACAGTCCAGCCTATTGTGGAAGCTCAGGATGACATTCCTTCTGGATTAGTCTCTGTGGCTAACAGTTTCCCTGAGAACCAGCATGTACCTCAAAGTATCTGCAGCTCCAGCAGCCCCGTCATCACCATCCATGTACGATTCAGTGGCCCTGACTTCAGATTCTTCAGTTCCAGTTCATGTCCTACCAGGAATTGCTCAAGAGAGTGGTTGCAACTCTGAGTATTCAAGCTGAGCTGGTACAAATTGGCGGCCATCCTCCAGGCTTCAGCCCTAGAAGGGTTGCCTTCCCTATTAATGATGCCCTATTACAGCTGGCCAAATCTATGTGGCACACACTAGCATCGCTAGCCCCAACAGCCAAGCGAATGGAAAAATGATAGTGTCCCTTCCTAGGGTTTGAGTGTTTCTGTTTGAACCAAACTCCTTAGTTGTCATGGCAGTTAATGAGACCTCCAGAGCAATGGCCTCTGCAATCATCATGAGGAGTGCACCATGGTTATTTAATTCTGGAATAGCATCAGATATCCAATAATCTATTGATGATCTATCTTTTAATGGACTGTTTTTATTTTCAAACTAGAGAGATGAGGTGTTTCACTCTTTTAAAGATTCACAAACAGCTCTCTGCACTCTGAGAATTTATCCTCCAGCCTCTAAGAAGGATCAGTATAAGCCCCCACAGCAATATTCTGATCACTGTCACAGACAACTTTTCTGTCTTCCCAGACACAGTATGTCTCTCCTAAAAGAGACAGAGGCCCCAGAAAAGGTCATCTAATTCTAGCACTACAACAATTGAACCTGCTATAGGGAAAACCTTTTTTACTTGTTTTTCAGAGCTGCGCCACTCACTGACTAAATGAAAGGAGAAAGGAATGGAAAAATTCCATAGATCTGACAGTGAGGCCCACCTTTCACATATGGGATCTTCAGTCAACCTGTTTGCTACAAAAGACAACAGGAGTGTCATCAGTTTTGTTCTCAGGCCTCCCATAGTCCAGGCTTCCTCACTGATGCCTTCACATAGAAGAGAACTGGGGATTTAGTGCACACCTTTCCCTGATCCCTCTCATCCCGCAGATCATCCACAAATTGAAGCGAGACCATGCCAGATTAATCCTGATGGCCCTGGTTTGGCCAAGGGAGTATTGGTTTTTGAATCTTCTCTCTCTCTCTTAGTTCAACCTCCTCTTTCTCTCCCGCTCCTCCCAGACCTTTTATCACAGGAACACGGTCAAATGCTACATCCAGATCCATCAGTCTCCACCTCTCGGAATGGCTGTTGAGAGTCTAGATAAAGTGTGGGAGTATTCCCTGGTGGTTCAAGAGATTCTGTCCAACAGTAGGAAACAATCAATTATGTCTGCTTACTGGCCAACTAGTAAAGGTTCTCTGCTTGGTCCATTGCCTGGGGGGGATACAACCTGTTTAAGCAAGAATCCAGGACATTTTAGACTACCTCTTACATTTCAAGTCCTCAGGCCTTTCAGTGAGTTTTCTAAAGATTCACTTTGCAGCAATCACTCCCTTCTATGGGGGGATGGATAGTAGATTGGTATCTTCCAACCCCATGGTTGCTAGCAAGGCTATCAATTAACCGCAGTTAACGCAAGCAATTAATGCAAAACAAATTAACTAGATTAAAAAATAGTTTAGTTTTAATTGCACTGATAAACAATAATGGAATGCCAAAATAAATGTATTATATATATTTGGATGTTTTTTCTAGATTTTCAAATATATTTATTTCAATTACAGCACAGAATACAAAGTGTACAGTGATAACTTTATGTTTTTATGACAAATATTTTCACTGTAAAGAAGATAAACTAAATTCATTTTTTTTTCAATTCACCTCATACAAGTACTGTAGTGAAATCTCTTTATTGTGAAAGTGCAACTTATTAATGTAAAAACATTTTAATAACTGCACTGAAAAACAAAATAATGTAAAACTTTAAAGCATACAAGTCCATTCAGTCCTACTTCTTGTTCAGCTAATCGCTAAGACAAACAACCATTCCCAGAGAATAGTTACCAGTGGTTCATAGTCAAGATGGAAAGGCATATCAGGAGGAGACCCACAGGGATCAGTTCTGAGTCCAGTTCTATTCAATATCAATGATTTAGACAATGGCATAGAGAGTACACTTATAAAGTTTGTTGACAATACCAAGCTGGGAGGGGTTGCAAGTGCTTTGGAGTATAGGATTAAAATTCAAAATAATCTGGACAAACTGAAGAAATAGTCTGAAGTAAACAGGAAGAAATTCAATAAGGACAAATGCAAAATACTCCGCTTAGGAAGGAGCAATCAGTTGTACACATACAAAATGGGAAATGACTGCCTAGGAAGGAGTACTGCAGAAAGGGATCTGGGGGTCATAGTGGATCACAAGCTAAATATGTATCAACAGTGTAACACCGTTGCAAAAAAAGCAAACATCATTCTGGGATGTATTAGCAGGAGTGTTGTAAGCAAGACACAAGAAGTAATTCTGCTCTGCTCCACACTGATTAGGCCTCAATTGGAGTATTGTGTCCAGTTCTGGGTGCCACATTTCAGGAAAGCTGTGGACAAATTGGAGAAAGTCCAGAGAAGAGCAACAAAAATGATTAAAACATGACCTAGAAAACATGACCTATGAGGGAAGATGGAAAAAATATGGGTTTGTTCAGTCTGGAGAAGAGAAGACTGAGGGGAGATAGTAACAATTTCTAAGTATATAAACAGTTGTTACAAGGAGGAGGGAGAAAAATGTTTCTCGTTAACCTCTGAGGATAGTACAAGAAGCAATGGGCTTAAATTGCAGCAAGGGCAGTTTAGGTTGGACGTTAGGAAAAACTTGGTAACCATCAGGGTGGTTAAGCACTGGAATAAATTGCCTAGGGAGGTTGTGGAACATGGAGATGTTTTAAGAGCAGGTTAGACAAACACCTGTCAAGGATGGTTTAGATAATACTTAGTCCTGCCTTGAGTGCAGGGGACTGGACTAGATGACCTCTTGAGGTCCCTATGATTCCATGTCAGTGTTGTAGCTGGCATTCTAAGGTATTTACATGCCAGATATGCTAAATATTCATATGCCCCTTCATGCTTTGACCATCATTCCAGAGGACATGGCTCTATGCTGATGATGGGTTCTCCATGATAACAATCCAAAGCAGTGCAGTCCAATGCATCTTCATTTTCATCATCTAAGTCAGATGCCACCAACAAAATATTGATTTTCTTTTTTGGTGAATCGGTTTCTGTAGTTTCCGCATCAGAGTGTTGCTCTTTTAAGACTTCTGACAGCACGTTGGTGTTGGCCCCTGACTGCAGCCCGGCTGCAGCTTCTGCTCCCAGCCCCACCTCCAGCCTCGGCCCCCAGCTGCAACCCCACCCTCAGCCCTGGCTCCACTCCTGGTCCCAGCCCCACCCCCATCTGTGGCCCTAGCCTTACACCTGTCTGCGCCCCTGCTCTCAGCCCCAGCCCCTGGGGAGGGGGGGGGAGCACAGACAGAGGTAAGGGGAAGGTATGACCATGAAAAGTTTGGGGACCACTGTTTTACATTATTTTGTTTTTGAGTACAGTTATGTAAAAAAATAATTCTAAGTCTGTAAGTTGCACTTTCACTATAAAGAGATTGCATTACAGTACTTGTAAGAAGTGAATTGAAAAATACTATTTCTTTTATCTTTTTTTATGGTGCATATATAAAGTGAACACTGTACACTTTGTATTCTTTGTGGTAATTGAAATCAGTATATTTGAAAATATAGAAAAATATCCAAAAATATTTATAATAAATTTAAATTGGTATTCTATTATTGCTTAACAGTGTGATTAAAACTGTGATTAATCGTGATTTTTTTTAATCTCATGATTAACTGCAATTTTTTTTAATCGTTTGACAGACATAGCTGTTACCCTGTTTCCCCGAAAATAAGACATCCTCCGAAAATAAGGCCT